ATAACTGTATTTCCACAGGCCCATCCTGTCCTACTTGCAAACATAAGGATACAAGTGTGTTTCTTCCCACACTTCAAATTAAATTTGTGCCTGAGTAGACATCTAGGGTGCGGATCAGAATTTTTCTTTCTAATTTTCTGGTTTTGATAATCATCACTTTTCAAAGTATGTCGAAATTCATTTTCACACACATCTAACTCACAGAAAATTTTGAACAAGCTAAATATTTGTGGTAGATTCAATGTTTTTATTCCTCAATAAATATAGAAAGAAATATTCCAATCTTTGCTGAAAAACATACTACGCCATTTGTTTTCCTGAATGTATAATACGCAGATAGTATGAATAAAGTTAGATCCTTCTTTGAATGGCAAGGAGTTGGAAATTATCTAAATAACCTAAATAAATGTAATAATAATTTTCAAAATGAATAATGTGGATGTAAAAAGTATCTGAATATTTTCAAGGCAAATAATAAAAATAAGATTAATATGAAAGTATCCAACAAGAGGGAACAGTAACTGCTATTGTGAAGGGAGAGACATGCCCAATCTAAAGACAACGGAATTTAATTGTTCATAAACACAGTGCACCAACGAAAGTAATTATACTGCCTGGAGTCCCCAGTGGCCATTGATTTTCATCTTCAAACTTAAAAAGGAACAATTGCTTTCTAGTCAAAAGAATTGGCAACAGCCAAATGAGTGATATTAACTTATTTGAACACAAAATGTTCCAATCAGAAGCATACCCAGAAAATTATATATATTAAAAAAAAAAAAAACCCTGAGGTCACATTTTTAACCTGTACCCAGCAATTTACAAAAGCAAGGAAGCGAAGGTCAAATGATTCCACTCATGCATGTTGATCTCTTTGCAGGGCTGTCCTTAAAAAGAAGAAAAATATCTCAAGCTAATGAAGCTAGAAGCCACAACTTAAGATCTTTCTTAAAATTATTCATTTAGGAGTCACTACTTTGATCCCATCTCAAAAAATTACCTTCTATTCATCACATGGTTTCTCTTGTATTTCTTTCTAGAATAGGGTTTTTCAAACTTGACGTCACTGACATTTCCGGTCTTTGTTGTGGGGAGCTGTTCTGTGCATTGCAGGACACATCCCTGACCTCTACTCACTAGATTCCCATAGCAAACTCCCCACTACCAGTTATGAAAATCAAGAATGGCCCCAGAGTGGACAAATGTCTTCAAGGAGCAAAATCGACCCCAGTTGAGAAACACTGGTCTTGAGAAAGAAAGAAGCAACTGTCAAGCACACAGCAACATTCACATGTAAAGTTCCTGAGGCTTTCCTGGTTAATCAGTGTTAAGTTATACAACTGGATGTCAATAAATTCTGGGATACAGACACATACTGCTAAAGCCAAACTTTTAAAAATAACAAATTCTTCATTACTATAACCAACATATGAGACCACATGGCCAATTGGAATTTTCTGATAACATTTCTTCATCTCAAACTGAAAGAGGTGAAACTTTAGGAGCTTTTATCCAACAATTTTTTATTTGTGCTTCTATTTTTTTTAATAGGGTACCTATTTCCTCAAATATAAATCAGTAAATAACTTTCCTGATTTCACGGAGGTACAAACAGTTGCATCTATGCCCCCAAATACCAAGTGGCAAGACAAATAAAACAACAAACAAAGTCAGAAACACTAGGATGGGATGCAAGCCAATTAATGCTATCTCTGTGTGTGATATGTCAATGAATATTTGCTGGTTCTTGTCAAAAGTACTATTTTGTAATGACCTATAAATAGACAGTTGGACCAAAAAATGTGTAGCTAACATATCCCTTGGAGTTATTCTGCTGCCATGTATGAATTTTCTCCCTGTTTTAGACTATTTTTAAGAGTCTTAAATGCTTACAGATTTTCAGAGATTTCAGGTTAGACTCTTATCTCAATTATTCCTTTCCATATTAGTGCATAAGACCTTTTTTGTTAAAATATCTTAACTATATCTAAACACAAGGAGCTTGAACCCATGTTAACAACCCTTTTCTAATTTCGAAAAAGTGATTTGATAAAACAATTTATGGCTACTCGTGTATTGACAGCAGAAAGAGTAGAACTAACACACATGAAACATTTTCCTCATTATGTCATCATGAATGAGCTTTTGTCTGAAATAGTTCTGGCTTTAAGAGATACCATTTCCAAACACTTAGAAATAATTAAGAACAGTTTTGGGGCTAAATCACTTCTTTCCCATTCTCCTATTCAAAAGTTATATGCACTCTAATTTCTTCCTTCATGAGAAATCCACCTAGATTCATTCCAAAAGAATGCCGTAAGACAATTATTTCATTAAAAATTTTTTTTTCATTTTTGACAGCCATGCCCAATGTCATTTTTACTCATAGTCTGTTAACTAAGATTACACAGCAAAAAGTACACAGTAATCATTTTTAAAATGTGTTTAAGCTGAAAAATGACAATGTGATGTTAAATTATCTTAATTTTTAAAATAAATTGGTAGTCATTTTCTAGCATAAAGCGTCTTATTAAGTACATTTTTATTAATAATCTGTTTATTTTCTCAATCGACTTGGCACATTTTTATTACAGAGCTTTTAATACTTATCTGATATAATTAATTATGATTATAATTAAAATATTGATAATTACCCAAAGAAAAGTCTGTAATATGAATAGAACTTTTATGCCCTAATAATAGATTTTTTTAAACAGAATGTACTGGGAGAGAAAGTAAATCCAGACTTTAGCCTAACATGAACTTTAAAAACACAATTATATTAAACAATGCTATCTTGGTATTGGGAGAATATGATTAAACAAGTTCCTCTGAAATCATCTGAAATTATGGTAATTCCTTTCTTGTTCTCAGTTTTGGGTTACTGGATGCAAATATATGACACCCTCCACTCCCTTAAAAATACCCCCCATCAAATTCAGGCATCTCTGGGACTTAGAAATTGCTTAATTATCTGTGTCGTGACATAAATGTCTTTAGAGAGTCTATGAATCTTAGAAGATCAGTAGATTAGAATATTTACTAAATATGACTCTGTGATAATTAAAAGTCCTGGCTGACATAGAGGAGAATAAAAATAGAACTCGAAGAGATTTTAAAAGATTTAACACAGAAACATAAAAACAAAACGACATTAATTGGCACATGGAGAAAACCACAATGAGATGAGATGGGAGTGGTGTGTTGTACCAACAATAGAATTGGGATAATGAAATGATAACCAAAAGTTTTTTGTTTCTTTTTTGAAGTATCATAGAGGCTAAAGAAGCAATGAATAAATGCTCTGAAAAACCCCTATAATCAGTGATCCGGGAAAAACCTCGTTAACTTATATAAAAGAGTGATCAGTAAGGAATAGTCACATAACAGAATATTCGTGTACTGAGTGTCTATACTTAACGTGAATGCTTGGCTGCTGGAGGCCTATAATCTCCATTAAAAAATGTTATTTTATGATAAAGGAAAGAAAAAGGAAAATGCATTTAATTTCTGTTCCTCAAACTAATTTTATAGAAAATCAATTCCTGTTGATTTTAACCAGGATATCATTAGGATGCCTTCTCATCATTACCAATTACTGTTTTCTGCCTCCCATCCTATCTTCCTACTAAGGGCTTCCTACTATGGTACTGATGACAGTACCTCTCAATGACTCCTTGGCCTCCTCTCTAGCATCCCTAAGGATAGTTCAATGAAGAAATAATAGGTACTGCTCTATACTATTTATTAAAACTTTTCATGAGGACTAATATTTCCCCAAAGGAAATCTGTATCCTTAGAAAGAGAGCAATCTACCTTATATATTCTTTACATCCCACAAGCACCATAAAGAGTTGCACAGAGAATAGCTGTTCCTCACATAAGTGTGAATTAATTAATTAGTTGAAAAACAAAAATGTCATTATTTTCTGCTAGTTAATAACCTAATTATTAATGTATATCTGCTGGTTGTTTAAATTTAGCCTAGCAGATACATACATATATAATCACTTAATTATTTTAATGACCATTTTGCTTAATACGTAAAAAAAGTAAACAACAAAAAGTTCACGGGCCATCTTTTCCACTGGGCCATGCTATAAAAATATGAAGATTAAATGTCTATTCCAAATGCACAAATAGGAATAAGTTTTAAGAGAAGCCAACGATTTTGCTTATTGTTTTATTTTGGAGAGGTCTTCTGAGGCCCTGTGCTATGTTTCATCTGTGTCATATAAACTCATCTAATAAGCAATATATTGAAACTTTAATTATATAAAATTGTGGGTAAATAACTATGCACTACTTTTCCTTGGTGTTGGAGAGCTAGATTTTGAACATTGCAATAGTTAATTCATTATTGCTTACTCAATAAGTAATCATGCTTCCTATCCTTAAGGGGACTGCATTTATCAGAAAGACAAAGGCTGTATTCTTTTATAAGACCAATATAAATACATTCAATCATTTGAAAAGTGTTGGCTAAACAGCAATACAAAAGAATAAAAATGATACTGACAGAATCCTAAATTCTAAAAGTAAAACACATCAACCCCACCAGAAGGCCAGTTTACAAAGCCTTCTTTCTGCATGATCCAGAAAACAACAGAGAGAAGTCAGGAAGAATAAATTTTTAAAAAAGAGGGGGAATTAGAAGTTCAGGTTAATAATAACAGGATAGGCTAACCATTTTTTTCATTCTTGGCATTCGTATGATTAACCTCACATTGAAATTATTGGAGAAGTATTCATTCTAAGCAATTATTATCGCGGAAATATTCCCCCAGTTACTAAAAAGAGTAAATGGGGGGAAAATGTTCACAGGGGTATTTTCTATCAATCCATCTACTGATTCTAATGACATAATGATATTCCAGCCCTAACTTTTCACCTGAAATACTTTACAAATGCTGAAACTGAAGAGTAGAAAGTTTTGTACACCTAGAGAACATTCTAAACAATTCTGAAATGCATAAAGTAATTAATTATTCATTACTTACAAAAGTTGTGTTTTCCAATAATAATGTGGTAGCATTTGTTTCTATATTCAGTTTAATGACATGTCCATTCTCGCTTTTATACACCACTTCTGTATCTGCAACAACAAAGACATTGACAATTGACAAATACATTGACTAGGTAACATAATTACTGTAGGGGAGAAAATGTGCATAATCAACAGACACATTGGAGCAATCATTGTTAGCCTTCAACAGCCTGAGCAGATTTCTGTATTTGGCTCACATCAATTCTCTTGAAAGATTAGGAAGCCTGCCTAACACATGGTCTATTGTGCAACGAACACAGGGTTAGTGAGAGGGCCACCCAGATTCATGGTTTAACAAATGAAAATTAATTAAAATATGGGCAATCTGCTGCACATTCTGAGGTGAGAAAGGAGGACCAGAGAAAAGTGTCTCCAGTCTCCAAAGTAAGCTATTACTGATGACTGATCTAGTTTTCTAACTTACAACAAGGGCTGCCAGTTAACTGTAACCATACACAGTTCTAAGTCTCCTCATGCCAAACCATCCACTTGCAGACCCATTCATTTATTCAGTCCTTCTATTAATTTCACCACTCAATTCCTCTTCAACCTCTTGAATTTTTTTCTAGTAGAGAAATTTTTCTCCATTATTTTATTTGGCTTGTGTGATCACAGATCAAAATCTCTGAGGTTGTTACTGTATCATCAAATCCACTTTGTCAACGTTAGGAGAATGATGTCTTCATTTTAAATGGCTGCATTTCTTCTGGATGGTTGATTTTACATATTTTTCACTTAGATTTAGACACATTTGTTAGGAAATTAAATCATCTTAAGAATATCTCAGACCAAAAATATTAACTTGAGGGAAAACTGACAGAGAGCATATGAAGATACTAAGAAGTTAAAAAGATGTGTGCGTGTGTATGTGTGTGTGTGTGTGTGTGTGTGTGTGTGTGTGTGTATTTAGGTAAAAGGGAAGTAGTTTTGAATATTTTCTTTTTCTTTTTTTCAATGATAATCTCCTTTCCAGATTTACCAATTCTAGCCTTTTCCATGGCATTGGATACACATCCTTCATCACCTGCCCATTCTTGGAAGAAGGGCAATACAAATGGGCATTAGATACGCTATTTGTATTGAATGAATTTACATAATTTGCAATCTCTCAGAACCTGAATGTCATCACCTGCAAACCCGGAAAACAAACAAGGGATGGTGAGTTATGAAGATTAAGTTCAATAACACACGTGGCAGTGTCTAACACTTCTGGCAGAACAAGACTTTCTAACCCCTTCTCATGTTATTTCAATATTATTAATAGTTATACCTAGAATTTGTACGATGAGAAGCAACCAATACCAGCACAAATTAAGTTTGTTTTTCTTTAGTGTCTCATTCAAAGGACTGAGTGCAATATGACTCTCTTATTGTTAGGATAGGAGACTAAGAGACAGGGCTAAGACCAGATGCAGAGGCTTGAAGATTGGGCACAGGTGTTAAGTAAACAATCTTAAACAAAAGGGACTGATAACTATAGGCAAGAATCAGCTTCCACCAGCTTGTCAGCTATCTCTGTCACCCTACATGAACTCTGGCTAATTATAATATCATTTACACAGTGGTTTTAAAATTCCTCCACCCTTGAAGTCTATGAAAATGGGAGAGAACCCAATTTTAGGAATTACTACCCAAATTCTTAATAACAGCCAGCTGCTTGAATATTCCTCCCCTCAATTAGTAAAACTGCAAAAGATCTAAAACTGCTTCCTCCCAGTGTAGCTGCTCTCCAGTGAGCCTGCCTGCTCTCTTCCCCGAGGGTATCCTTTCACTTTCAATAGAAGCTGTCGCTCAGTTGGCTTACATGGTACATCCTGAAATTCTTTTTCCAACGATCACCAGATCACCAACAACTTGGAAAAACCTCCACTCAGAGGCTGGCACCACTATTAGAGTCAAGAGTGGCACAGAGGGTCAATAGTTTTTCTTGACCTTAATCATATGGGGGCAGTGACATGTTGGAACTGCGGTGCCACCATCGCCGGGAGGAGCTCACTCCCTACCCCAAGAGCAAGAAGGTGGCAAGCCGAAAGGATGAAGAGTTAGACCCAATGGACCCCAGCTCATACTCGGACGCGCCCCGGGGCACGTGGTCAACAGGACTCCCCAAGGGGAAGGAGGCCAAGACTGGTGCTGACACAACAGCAGCTGGGCCCCTCTTGGAGCAGCGTCCCTACCCATCGCCAGGGGCTGTGCTCCGGGCCAAAGCAGAGGCCTTTTAAGAAAGGAGGAAGGAGATAAAGAAGGAAGGGGTTTTCCCATTACTGCCTGAGGCTGACTGTATGGACTAAATGGTAGTCCTATATATCTTTGAAATAATGCCTCGTTATCACCTTCTGAACTTCTGCTATCAGTTATAAATAAATTAGGTTCTTTTTTTTATCACTAATTTTACCTACTGTTCTTTCTAGTGATACAGAACAAATAACAAGTTTACGTAAAAATAAATATTTATTTTGATTTATATTCCATTCCTTTCTTCTCTTTCCTTTCCATCATATATTTATGATTATGTCTCAACAGCAAAGCTGGTCACCTGCAATGCTCATTTGGTCTCGTCAGATAGTTTGATCTCCTGTCTTTTGGCTCTCCATTAACGCTTGCTCTAATCAATAGTCTAGCCCCAGCCTTGAGTTCCAAACCCTATTCTCTCTGAAATATTTTTGATATTCTCAACTCTGAACCACTTTTTCATTTTGATGACTATATCATCATAGATTAGCAAGAAGAGCCAATTAGCATGCCCTGACAAAATCATCCTTATAATATTTTCTCAACAAATTAAGAGAAAATGAATTTGCCTCCTTCCATTGCATCAGGGAGATAAATATGGTAAAAAGGTATTGAATGAGTGATTCTTCTCCCAGGAGGAAAGAGTCCTGTAGAATCCGAAATAAGAATGAGGTCTGCGATTTTAGAGAGAAAGAAGAGGTCAGAGAGCAATAGTGGTATGAATGCTGGTTCTGGTCAAGGGAAGAGGAAAAAGTATCTCATGGTACTATAGTTTCTCATAGTAAGGGGAAACCCTTAGTGAGTGATGGATTGTTATTAGCGGTGGAGGAAAGAAAACTAGTCATTATTTCACTTAGAAGGGAGCTTATTTGAAAGGAAAAAGACTATACTTAATGTTAATTTTTTTAAATCAATTTTATTGGATAATTATTTGGACTTGAGAAAAATCTGCAGAGTTGAGATTTGTAACTACCTTTAGCTCTGCACTCCTGCAAATTTTACTATTAGATCCTCAATGCTATATTAGCAGGAAAAGCTTTTTTCTAATTCAAGTGTAATTCTCTTGCATAATATTTAATAAAGATTTTTGCATGAATTATTTTAAAAGCATCTAATATCTGCCTTTATTGATTCCTTTTGATTTTTTTTTCCTGTTCTTTATAATTTGCTCTTCTGGGTCTCATATTTATCCTACTTTACTGTTTGATTTGTAATCACTACTGGAATCTCCCAGTTTTGAAACTCCTCTTACTAGATTACTAAATAACCTTCTGGAATTACATTTCTAAACTGTCTACCTTATAATTTGTTTAATATTAGGTAATAAATCTGAGTGAATCAGATCAATGAGAAAAGTGCATTAACACAGGAAAATTAAGGTAGGTGTACTTGAAACATTCTTAAAACACAGCATTATGAATATCTATACAGTACTTTGATTAAATAATCTTCTTTTCTTTTCAGCTCATTGATAGTTAAGAGCCAATTATCCTGAACATATATTCAACTCAGTTTTTTAAACTGAAAATGTATGGCAGGATAGAATCACTGTGTAGTCTGTATCTATCCTGAGATCCAAGCAAGTATTTTCAGTCTGCAGTACCCCTAAATAATCATTACGGTCATTTCTATTCAATTCTTTTTTTCCATAATTTGGCTAACAAAAAGGAAAACATAGTAGTATATCCTGGTTTAAAATCTTTCAGATAAATGCAATCTTATGTTTTATATTTCTTTCACAAAAAGCAGACAATAAAGCATTTCACATTGTATTGATAATTCTGTTCTTGATGTGGTATTGAAATTTATAACTGAGACTTCTGCATCCACCTTAACCATCAGGACCAAGAACAAGGTCAGCCTGCATTCATATGATTTTACTATTTGTTCTAAGAATTTCTTGTCCATGAAGTTAAGGCTCTAAATCAGCACAGAATCTTCATTTTCTTTTTCAGGAATTTGCTGGAAATTAGTTTATCTAAACCATAAATTTTAAAATCGGGAAAATTGTTCAATTATCAAACAACTCACTTCAAGATTCTTAGATTTATGTGTTCACTAATCCTAAACCATTTCCTCATGAAATGTGCCCAACCACATCCAGATCCTCACATTGAAGGAACTGTCTTAACTACTCAAAACCAGATCCAACCCTGTTCCTATCTCCCCACAATCCCTCCTTTTGGACACTCTAAGACTCTTCTAAAATGTGTCTTCCCTGACTGCAACAGGTAATAAAAACTCAGTGTTGCTGAACAGGTTATTCTGAGGGCCTTCTGAGAAGATGAAGTTGACAACATTAATCTTCCATATATATAAATATAAAGTCAACTTATTGATTTTTATTGATGTTAATATTGATAATGTAAGCATGCGTTTAATTTTCACATGATAATTTGCTTTTAATGTTTCAAAAGTAAATCTATCTTTATTTCTCTCTCTCTGTCATCTATCTCTCTATAGAGAATTTTCAAAAAGTGGAAAAACATCTTGGCAAATCAGTTCCCTGAGACATTTTAATCCAAACATGCTCTTTATTTTAAAACAATTTATTTTTGATGTATTCAAAATAAAAATAATATAGCATCCCATGTTTTTAAAAGAAACCAAACTCAATTAATAAACTGAGCA